ACGCGAGGGGGGGGGGGGGGTTAGGACTGTCTATCAATATATTTTGTCTGAGAATTTAAATAATAAAAGGGAAAACAGATGAAGCAGTAGTTGAAATTCATGCTTCTGAAACTCTGAAGCAGAATCCTTAGAAATTAATCGCAAAAAATGTAAACAACGAAATACTCAAGCCATAACAGTGAACCATTCTCACCTTGTACATTTAAAAGAATAACGATTTCAAAAATAGAAGATAGTTATATAAACCCATAGTGAAAATTATTGCTAGATTATTTTTCTTCATCTCTTATTCCTATCAGACACACACATATGGTTGCATTTCATGGAAAAAAAAATCTTTTTTTTTTTTTTTTTTTTTAATTTAGTAAAACATATGACTACTTCTAGGACAGTATAGCCAAATGATGGGAAGACAGTTAATGAAGGAAGAGTAATTTAAAAAGAAGTGGTTATGAACACCTGAAACAAATGTAGACCTCGATTTAGCAAGGCATTTAAACTTAAGAGTACTTCACTGAATCAGGGTTTTAAGACCATAATTAAATTATTGCAATTAAGAGTGGACTCATTCAGAACTAGTAAGTATGTACTGACAAAGGCAGCTATAAAATTAAGAAGCTTGAGTGAAAATTTTTATTAATCATTGCTTATTTTTCTCATTATAATACCAAGCAAATTTCAACTTTTGTCAGCTCTTGAAGGATACTATGCTGCAGGGTTTAAGGGACTGAACTCTGACAAAGAGACAGGAGCTCAAATTCTAATCTCAGTAGATACTAACAACTTCATGGCCTTGAGCACATCACTAAATTTCTGTGACTCTCCCTGCTTAGCTCTTGTATGGCATTATATTACAAAGAGAGAGATAGAAAAATATAAATAGACATATACACAAGCTACATAATTAATCAGCTAGATTACAAAACGCTCTGAAAACATAAGAGTAAATACATGCCAAATACAATGAACTCATGTTCTATTTGCTACCGCTTGTTAAGTTACTGTCACACAGTGTTAAAAGTAGATATCATTTACCAATTCACTGGAGTATAAAGAAGGAGGCTGTCTTTTTTCCCCCCCTTCCTCCTCCTCTCCCACTTAATCCCCAGAGCATTAGTCAGTACAGAGTCATTGACAATAATAGTTACCAGAATTTAAAAACTAGTTTCTTGATGTTGATTATGCAAAACAAAAAGCAAACAACCCCTCCCTACTTACTTCACGGGTATCTGCACAATTAATTCCACCTCAGAAAGCAGTAGTTTAATGGGCATGGACCAAAGCATTCCCTCAAGCCCTTCAGAAATCTAATAGCCTGAAGTTTACATCCTTCTGGTGAACTGCTGTGAGAAGCTTGCAATGTTCAGAGCTATACAGAGAACACAATTCCCCGAAGTCCTCAGTAAGGCACACAGAAAACATAAGGATTAATAGGGTGGGAGCATGGTGGAAGGGGGAAAGGGTAGAAGTCCTGTAACCTGACGGTAACCAGCAGCCGGGAGATTATCACACGCACCATTCATGCTCTGTGCTGGCAGAAGACTATCCAGCCGCCGTTTTGATCTTTTATCAGAAAGAATCAGAGCTTCACAAAACAGCTTCAACAGCAATGATAACATGAAATCTGTTTAGCTTCTGGTATCAAAGCAATTAGAAATGAAGTACCACCTGCTCTTGCCCAAACCTGGCAGCCTCTCTCCAATCAGAGAGATATTTAAAAAGCTTTCCACCCTATACCAAATGGCTTCTACTCTGTTCAGTGTGTCTGTCTTCACACCTGAAACACGCACAAAACAGCACACTGAATCTACCCCTTCCCACATCTCACACCATTATTTAGGAGGATAGCATAAGCTTGCTGTTCCCTTTTCTTCATATATCAAATTTCTGTAGTCAGGAAAAAGATTGACAAAAACATTTCTGGCTACCCGTGAAGGATACAGATATATCAAATTAGCAAATCAGGCAGTCAGTGTCATACAGTGCTGCACATGGCCAAGAGATGTTTCAGGTATTTGCTCATGCAGTTCTCAGTATGTGGGACTTTGGAATCCATTTCACGATTCATTAACACCGTCCATCTAAAGTTCTCAAAGCATTTTAAATTACGTTAGTTCACAATTTCCCTAAAATGCGAGTAACATTTTCCCTATCTTGCAAGTCAATGCATTCAGAGCAGAACACACCCTACGTAACTGGGGACCTACATCGGAGCTGGTGGCCCTAGTATTCCTTCACGATCAAGAACGATGTCTATTCAGTGTAGGTCAAGGAGTTTAAGGCACAATTCACGTGGTCAAATGTAGACATAGCCTTTAGGAGATGGAATATTTCCCAGACTCCCACGGCAGCACTGAATAACTCCCCAAGGATTAGAAGCGTAGCCTATGGTGCAGACATCCATATCCAGTCAGGTGGGACCCACTTCTATTCACACCGGGCGCATCACCTCCGTTATAACACAAATAACTCCCTCCCCTCCACCACAACCCCCTGATTTTACATCTATACCTTAACCTCTACACTGCCATAGTTTACTGAACTAGGATGAGAAGGTGGATTTCATTTTATGTATGCCACTGACTTGCCAGACAGCCCTTTCCCATTTGTTCACTTCTTCGTGCTCATGTTTTCCTTCTCCTCTTCTGTAAACTGTTTTCAGGTGGCCAGCACTTAGCAGGTGTTCCCTTGTTAAGCACAACCTAGCATGATTCAGATCCATTTTGGGGATCGCTGCATGTTAGCATAATGAAAACAAAAAGTAGACAGTAGTACTGAACAATCCTACTGCTTCAGCCAAAGAAAACAAGCTTTCACACCAAGGCAAGATTATAGGTTATAATCTTTTCCTCAGTTCAAACTCTCAATTATACCTAAACTGAATTTGAAGAAAAATGGATTATTTTTGTTAATCCTAGCTAGTATTAAAATTTAACTGCCTAGATGTATAATATGCCTAGTTTTTAATCTCTAAATCTATTCCCCTGGTTTGGGTCTCATGATGATCAGAAATAAATGTTCCTGAAAAAAACTTGGAATCAACCTGTGCATGAAAAAAAAAAAAAAAGAAAGAAAGAAAGAAAAAAACCACACAAATCACACTGTATTTTAGATGGCCTACATTATTCCACCTTTACAGTACTATGCATACAATAGAGAGACAGTAGGGAGAGTTAAATACTTCCAGAAGGCAATTTGGACCTCATATTGAGATGAATTACTTTGTAAGTAATTTTAGCTCTAGTCACTCTGAAGATGACTACTTATCTTCATCCTTTATGCCGGGAATAAAAGCACTACTCAATTAGCAGCCTCCAGTCAGGTGACCTGACTCTCTCTCTTCCTTTTTTAACAGGTATTAACTTCTCCCTGTGTTAACAAGGACTGATGCCCTTTAGCAAAATGTCTCTATGTTTTGTCCTTCCCCCCTCCCCCCTTCCTTTCTTTTTTTTTTTTTTTGAAATGTGCTAGCTAGACAGGCTATTATTTTGGATTGTATAAGCCACAGATGTTTCTTTTTTTTTCTAGTTTCAGCCTATAGCAGGAATTGGATCCAGGGACCTAAGCAACATTCCGTTGCTCAAGCTTATCACAAACACAGAGAGTTGCTTTAAGTGTTAACAATAATTGGCATTGCCATGGAGGACTGCTAATCAAAGAAAAAACAAGAACCATGTGTAAAACATTCTATTGTTCGGCTAGAAAGATGAAAAAGCTGTTACAGAATCTATAGAATAGGGCAATAGGTTTTGGTTACCAGCAGGAAACTAGAACACCGCTTTATGTGAGCATGTAAATACAGATAATCATAAAGTAAATACTTGCCACTGCTTTTGTTTATTTAAAAACAAAGACACCAGACAACTTCTTAGGCTTTGAATCTTCTCTTCTTTGCCCCAGAAAGCAATTTAATAAAAAGCACTGTCCCTGTTACAGTGGTTTGCACACAAAAAAAAAGGATGATATTTCTGAAATTGCATTATGGTATTATGTCTGTCTGGGGTGCTTTGAGCTCTTTTCAGTATGGTGAGAAGGAAAAGATTCCTTACAACTATAGTAATAAAGTCAGCTACCATACTCCCAGCTTACTTCAATGCTATATTAACTCTAAAACTTTAGCTAACTATGGTGAAATAAAACTTACCTTAAAAATCAAATCCTTTTTCCCATAACGAAGCTCTTTCAGCTGGGCTTGGATCTTCTTTGACTGAAAGTGAGGATAATAAAACCAAGGGGCTTATTTTAAATATTTACTTTTAAGATCAGAAAAAAAGGTAGCAAGTTCTGACAAGAACAGAAACTAGATCAGCTTTAAAATGCAGAAAAATAACCAAAATCAACATCAATTGCTTCTCCAGGGTAGCATGTGTGTATTTACATACTGTGGCATGTTTGAAAACAACAATAGAGATATAAGAAGATAACATAGATTTTGACAAGCTAGAAAAAGAAATACCCCCAAACCCCATTATTTCCTTCACGTTCAACCATAATTATGAAAATCTTAGTCAAGAAGCAGCGTTATGCTTCTGTTTCATTCTGGCAAGGTGCAATGACTTTCACAGGAATGATATATGCAAAAAACCATCACTGAAGTCATGTAAATGAGTAAACCAGACTCATATATAGTAATACCCTCTTTCATGAAAAGTTAAATAGCTAAAAGGACTGCTCGCACAAATGCAGTTACTTGTACGTTTATGTATTTGCAAAAAAATAGGGCTTTTGTATCATCAACTACCTTTGCTAGCTCGCTCTTCAGTAGAGGGGAGATTTCTTTCCCTCTGTTTCCTAAAGTGACCATTTTTCCTTGAAGTAATGAAACATTCTAGGAATCAATAATAATAAATCCCTGTTGTCTCTATAAGTTAATTTCAAAAAAGGCATTTAGCTATTCCTGTCTTAGTCTAGCATAGAGATTATAAAAAGGAAATCAGTTTTACGTATGTTATAGATGTATATTATACATCTACAGAGCTACATATAATTTTCATAAGCATGCCCAAACTTTATTTTATTCCTTTAAAAGTGCAGATCACTTTCTAATACATTTGAGTTGCTTCTAGTGATGTCACAGAAATGAGTTTAGATGAGAGCGCTTTAGGAACACTCACCATACGCGTATAATATATAATCTATACCAGACCCTCAGTACAAAAGACTGTGATGCAAGCTTCTTTTGAGTATGTTAGATTTAGAATGGAGAGGAACGTTACTTACCTCTTCCGCATGAATACCACAAAGCTTGTTTCCTGACAAGAGCTTGTTTTTGAGGCTTTTGTTCTGAGAGGGGAAAAAAAAAAAATACAGTTTTATTACTGAGAGTTACTGAAATATTTAGGGACCCTCTAAATATTTGATCATACTGGTTTTATTTTATACATGGATAACACCTTCAAGTCACCAGCAAAGACACGGATAAGAAAAGAGATGCATCATGGCACAATATCATCTCTTACAGAATTCTAAAAGCCTATGACTTTGCATTAAACCCTGCTTTCACAGGAACAGGACTGCACATAGAAACCTTCCAAAACACTCTAGCAACTGAAAGCAATTTAGATTGGATATGCTGAGGTAAAAAAAGGAAAGAAAAAAAACCCTGTAACCCTTACCTGGTGTCAACTGCATAGCTCAGTATCATTTTCAGTAAATCATTATAACAACTGAGTAATAGGGCCAAGATCTCATCACTTGACCTTGATGATCAAATTCATGGGGTCTCTCTGCTAAATTTCATAATTTAAAACTGCAAGTAATCAAAAAATTTAGAAGGTTAGCTACCTGATAGCATTCTGCCAACTCAATATGCTTTTTCATATAGGAGTTTTAAATGTAGTTCTTCTCATTTTCAGGGAAAATAATAAACCTCGATAAAACGAATTTTCAATAGCCTGGTAATTCTTTCTGTACTTCTCACTCTTATTATCCCATAATTGACAGTCAAGGGTAAAGATTTCTCTGCAGCATGGACATCTTTCAAAACTGCTTAGAAAAGTATTCGATAAGCAGATCTTCAAGTGCTGGACGTAACATGCTTACACTAAAAAAGAAATGAAAGGAACACCAAAACCATCAACTCCTGTGCTAACGAACTGTGAATATACATACAGAAACCTGGCCCACCACGTTTCAGGAATGTATATTTATTACTGAATAGCAATAGCTTTCTTGAACATTGCGCACAAGACCAAGCTGGCACTAGAGAAAAAAACGGTAATTCCATCAAGTTCAAATTTAGATCCACATCCCACTGAAACACTTGAAGCTTTGTTTCCAGAATTAGAAGCTTGGAGTTTTTATCGAAAAAAACCTTTCATATTAAAGTGAATGCAAAGAAATTAAAATTCCATTCGAAAATTTCACATTTCACTGTTGCTATCTGCCGTGCACCAATATACGCTGCTGCAGAAACAATAAATGTTTTCCAGCTGTTTGACACGGGCACCCACAGTTCTGTAATACAACAGAAAGGAACTGAGTTGTTACTTGGAATGAGACAACCCAGGTTCTGCCTTGCAGAATATGATTTGCAAAGGGCTGGGTGTGTGGGGAGAGAGAACACATGTTGCTCTGATAAGTCTCGCAGTCGATTACTTTTTTTCTTTATTTGAAAATGATGTTGTAGCTTATCACAGAGCAACACCTTGGGAACTGGGTAGCAGATACAAGGTGAACAAAGATAAACCAACTAGAAACCAAAGAGGTGAAGAACACCCAACACATCTATTACTTGACCAGAGCTACATCTAAAGAGCTTTGTTGTACTGTGATCACACAGGAGATGTGATTGGTTTCACATGAAAGATCAGCATCACCTCTTAGGGTGACAGCCAAACAGATGTGCCAAAGGCACTGCTTCATTAGGGGAATTGCACTTAATTAACCCAGGAAGTCAAGTCATCACTTTGTTTTGACTAACTAGCTTCATTATCCTCTCATTATCCCCTCACAGCCTGGCGATGGTTGGTTTAGGTAACAGACTCTATCCCTATTTCAGAACCAAAGTAAGAATGAGTAGTAAGCCTGACATTTTTGCTCATTTATCTTCCTTTTGCCAAGCACAAGCTACTATAAGAAATACTTCTATTAATACATTAACTTCTACACGTGCTGTTTTGAGAAGACCCTACAGTAACCCAGAATGTGAAGAACTGAACGTCTACCACCTCGACAGGACACACGTTGTTTTAGATGGCTGTCACAATTTCCACATTATGTGCCAAAGTAGCCTGGCAAAAAGAATATAGTTAAAAGAATTTCTTCAAAACCAAAATTTGATGAAAATATTTTAAGTAAGGAGATGGACTCCATTTTGGAGATTTAGCTAGGTTTAGCAGGATTTACGAATCCTGTCTCATTATCCAGTCTATTAGCAACAAAACAAAAACCAGGGTTACCAGAGTGCAGGCAAAATAGTCACGATTTAATCTGTACTTAATAATGTTTTTAGAAATGAGAGCAAGCATTAAAGGTTACAATTATCAAGCACATAATAAGTAGGAGCTTGACAGAGGTAGATGACAACTTCTTGCTTACAATTTGAGTGATTTACGTTACTTCGCCAATCACATGCCACTGTCAAAAATAGCTTTGCATACTGATTAATAGTGCTAATTTTATAGCAGAATGTGAAGTATATCAGTAGAAACATGTGAAGTATAACAGAGCCTGGTTCGATCAGGATTCTGAATTAAATGTTGCAAAATGAAGACTCTGATCAGGTAAACATTCTGTAAGTTTGCTAGAAAGGGGTTATTCAAAATCAGATCAATTAATCAGTGATTTTTTTTTTAGGTTACACATACTTATTGAGTCAGGACAGAAGTTCTGACTTCTAAGTCGTAGATAAGGATTCAAGACGATGCTTCTTGTTTTCCTATTAAGCATCCTTCAAAGTACAATAACAAATAAGTTTAACTAGAATTTTACACAGTTTTTATTTCAAATTTTTCAGTTGTTATGAAGTACTTTAATGGAAAAGGTCATGGACATTTCAAGTTTAAAAACCAATAAAAGTTTAAGGAATAAATTAAGTATCTGTAAACATGTCTTTAATAGCCTCTTTTAAAATTATATTAAATAATGATTTTAATTAGACATGGCCTTTCAGATTTAGAGAAAGGATGCCATTCTATTCAGACTAAACGGGTAATTTAATGTATTTGAACATCTTAGCTTATAGCACAAACTGTTAGCTGGAGTGTTTGCATGCGATCATATCATTAAGCCAAGTTACTGTAGTATCTAACTCTCAATTTACTAAATCTTTTATCTCACTTTACCAGTAGTTTCAGTGCATCCCTAAATTCAAGGGCAAAAAAACTGCTGGTTGCCACAAATGTGGTTGCCACACGCGCAAGAATCCTGTTTTCTCTTCCCATGCAGTCAGTTCTTACTGTCCTGGCACCTACACTCAAGAACTAGTACCACACGTGAGTCCGGTGTCTATTCTGTGTCCTCCAAAAAAGTGAGAGCACTCAATGACAACTTGTCAGATTTGTTAACATACTCTTCACAGAGCTTCCATACTGAAAATAAAAAGCTTTCTGCCCCAATCCTAAATAGATTTGTCAGACAGTCCCTGGGCTTTTTTTCTTTTTTTCTTATATCCACATCTCGTTTCCATATTTTGTTTGGGTTCTGATATTATTTTCAATATGTGAGACCAGGCTTAAAGGAAGCTGAATTCATTATACGATCATTGACAGTAGCCCTACATTTAGGCTGCCTAAAGATCTCCCACCAATATAAAAACACATAAAAAGCTGTAGCATCATAGTTGCTTTGCCAGTGTGCCTTTGGAACCTGCAAGGGAAAAAAACCCTCGCTTGCTGGCTGGAAGGGTATATATGCTTTTCTATTCCTAACTCTAGAAAATAATCCCTTCTCTTCTGTCATTTATCCTCCTGAATCAAAGGCCAGTAACCAGCCAAAATAATCGCAAAACATCTGAAGAAATGCACCCATGTTATCACAAAAGCAGCAATCCCTACCGTGACAGGCAGCACATCGCCTCTCCGGAGAAGGGGGAGAGAGGGAAGAAAAATACAGAGAGCTATGACTACCTTAGCATTCTCAGAAAACAATAACCACAACGCCAATGGTCCTTTCTTTTCATATTGTTAAAGAATTTTACTAACTTTTAGCTCAATAAAATTCAGGTCTCCTTCCCTCTCCTATCCCTTTCTCCCTACAATATCAATGCATAATGGCTGAAAGGCATGAAAGGGGGTTTTTAGTATTTTTTTTCTTTTTTTTTAATTCCCATCTCCCTGTTAGAAAACTTAGACAAAGACTTAAAAAGAAAAGCACAAACTATACGCTTGAAAGCTCAATAGAAGCACTTTTACAGTTGCAGTTCTAGTTCCTTCCTTTTCTTCAAACTCATTTCATTAAAATCATTAATTACACAGCTACATATTGTATTTTTCATAATATCCCCTCCTCATTTAGCATATAAAATAAACAGCTCGTGAGGCAAGAGTCACAGTTTATGGGCATTGTTAAATGTGACAAACTACCCCGGGTCCATTTTAAGGGGGTTTATCATCACTGAAAATCTGAAATTATGGGGGTTAACATTTATCTGATGTATGATATATTCTACTGACAGAAGGGTAAAATTATGCCACCAATGTAAAAGGCACAAATTTTCAGACGTCATTTCTTGAAGTTAGGTTATCTTGACCTCTGGCCACACAGATGGATGCTTTAATGTTTATGTTTCATAATTTGAAACACCAGTATTACCTCTTTGAAACAGCATCAGAATCTCAACCCGAGATGAGCAAACTATACAATGTAGACATCATCAGTACAAAACAATTTAGTTTGCCTGCTAGCCTTTGAAAGCACGAAGACACAAAGTATGTTCAAGGAAAGAAAATCACTTTCTCTCTCAGAAAATTATTCCCAGCAATCAGCTTCAATTCAGACATTTTATCTGAGGTCTGACAGTGGTTGTTTGCTGTATACAAGATAAATTTGGCTCTGCCTCCCCTTGATGAATAGCGCAAATCAAACCATGCTGAGCCCCTGCTCATCATTGGAACATTTCTCTTATGGGCATCCTATTAAAAAAACAAGCCCAAACCCAAGAACAACAAAAAAGCCTGGACTCTGCTCAGCAGGAGTGTCAGGACCAATTGCCAAGATGAACTGTTTTCCATCCTCTGTTAAACCAAAGCACCCTTAGGAGGGAAATCAGAAGACAGCAACAGACCAAAATCAAATATCTGGACTTATCTGATATCACAATGTATTGGTACCCATTTTGCTTT